AGTGACGGCATGTTTCGCATTGAAAGCGGAAGTGACGTAACATTCTTTTTTCTTACGCCATGTGAGGAGTCACCTAGCTCACAGGTGGGAAGCCCCACTTTCATCATTCGCTGCTAGTACTACGGAGTCATGTCAGAGCTTACTGAGCTTCAAAGAGGGCCAATTGGTGGTGCCACTTAGCTGGTACCTCTGTGATTGAAATTGCCAATTTATTTGCCGTGTGTCAACGTACAGTATCAAAGGTTATGACGGAGTATACAGTATCCGGAAAACTTTGTTTGATAAGCATAAGCGCAGTCGACATTAGGGTTGTCACCTCATCCCTTTATAACCGAACACATATTAACCACTTCCCTATCGGGCACTTATACCCCCTTCCTGCCGAGGCCAATTTTCAGCTTTCAGTGCTGTCACACTTTAAGTGACAATCGCGTGGTCATGCAACACTGTACCCATATGACATTTTTATCCACACAAATAGAGCTTTCTTTTGGTGGTATTTAATTGCTGCTGGGTGTTTTATTTTTTGCGCTATAAACAAGAAAAGAGCAAAAAATGTGAAAAAAAAAAAAAAAAAAGTTTTTTCTTTGTTTCTAGTATAACATTTTGCAAACAGGTAATTTTTTTCCTTCACTGATGTGCGTTGATGAGGCTTCACTGATGCTGCGTACAGAATATAGGGGAATACTTGGCATACTGTATACAGGAGGTGTGTGTCTGCAGGACAGGCAGCCCCCCCAGGGGGGATTATTAATAGAAATTAGGATTATTAGTGACCTGTAGCAGCACTTGAGTCATAGGAAAGCTTCACCCCCAAAATAGCTTTCAGTTTTGGATGCTGCACATTTTTTGCGCTGGTTGCTATTGTAATCAATGATAAATCGGTTTTCTGCGATCACTGGTATCTTTATTGATCACAAATTGCAGCCTGTATGAGTCACTTTTAACCACAAGACGCAATCTCCTGGATTATTTAACCACTTTCCCTCCGCCCTATACCAGGAATACTGCTACAGGGCGGTAGGGCTGTACAAAATCATATATATCCGTGATTTGCATTTCCGGGTAGGGGGCGCACCGATCACTGTATTGGTGTCACTGGGGATGTCAGTGGCAGTTAGTCAGTTCCCCCCCCAGTGTCAGAATGCCTGCCTCAATCCTGCTATAAGTCGCTGATCGCCGCCATTACTAGTATTAAAAAAAAACAGTATATATACCGCCATTTTTAGATACTATACCTTTCACGTAAACCAATTATTTTACACGTATTGGGATTTTTTTTTAGTAAAAACTTGGAGCAGAATATATTTTGGTCTAAATTTATGAAGAAATTAGATTCTTTTAATTTTTTTAAATGTTTTACAGCAAAAAGTCATAAAATATTGTTTGTTTTTTTTCAAAATGAACAAAAAAAAAAAAAAAACCAATATGTAAATAAATAACCCTAGACCTATACTAATAAAAGTGAACCCGAATAATCAGACAAAAAAAAAATTAGTATATGTTTAGGGTTATTTAATTACATATTGGAGTTTTTTTGTTGATTTGCACTTTCAAGGGTGAACGTTTGATCCTATGTGTGAAAGGGTACTATTGATATTTTTTGATTGATACCGTAGTTATAGTTTTATTTTTTTTCAAAGTTGTCGGTCTTTTTTGGTTCACAAAAAAAATAAAAAGTGCACAGGTGATCAAATACCTCCGAAAGAAAGCTCTATTTGTGGGGAAAAAAGGTTTGAAATTTAATTCGGGTGCAGCGTTACATGACAGCGCAATTGTCAGTTGAAGTAATGCAGCGCTGTATCGCAAAAAATGACCTGGTCAGGAAGGGGTAAATCCTCTGGAGGGCAAGGGGTTAATTGATTAATTAATTAAAATGGAGCAATCATAAGGACTCTTACATACAAATAACATAAAACTGCTGGATTGGCGTATTTATTTACATTTTTATTTTTCTTGTTCATTCTTTTTATTGTTTTTCAAATATAAGAGTGACACAATTACATGAGCCATGAAATATGAAGGATTGTTTATATATAAATATTTTGTATAGGGTTATACTTTTAAGTTTGGATCCCTTATAAACATGCAAATAATCAGCACCTGCTGTCAGTCTCACTCTTCCAGCTGAACACCCCTCTAAAGCCAGCAGTGTGGCAGTGAAAGGGTGCCCCACCACCTCTCCCATTAGAGTCTATGGCAGGACTCACACAAGATGGCGGCGGCCACAGTGAAGACACCGGAGCCTGGAGGAGGATCGCGCTCTAGCGGTTGAGCCTGTGTTTGCAGCCTGAGCCAGCCTTTCTGTGCAGGTGAGTGTGAGCTGGGAAGAGGCAGGCAGGTAGCTGTGGTGCTGGGGGCTACAGAGAGTATAGGTTGGGGGCCACACTGTACAAGCAGAAGCTTTCCTGTATGCTGCGTACAGAATATAGGGGAATAGTCGGCATACTGTATACAGGAGGTGTGTGTCTGCAGGACAGGCCCCCCAGGGGGGGATTATTAATGGAAATTAGGATTATTAGTGACCTGTAGCAGCACTGGAGTCATAGGAAAGCTTCACCCCCAAAATAGCTTTCAGTTTTGGATGGAAGAATGAAAATATTGAGAGGTATTGTAGATGTGACCCCATTGGGAAGAATTCCCCTCACTTCCTGCCCCTGTGACACCTTTATAAGAAATGGGAAGGGACACAGAAATAGAGACAGAGGCTCCAAGTCTTTGCTACTCCCCCCCACCTCAGGGCTGCGTATTTACCTCCCTCGGTAGAGCTCCATATACTATTATGTGGGGCCGTTTGCAGAATTTTAGGGGTCACAGTTTAGGCTCCCCATTCCTCCTAAGCCCACAGGCACTCCCGTATACCCTTCATTCAAGCCCATGGGTGCAAACGTAAAGAGGAACCCCAGTCTCGCATAAGCTTTGACATGGTCATGTCATTTCAAAAGTTGTTTTCAATCTTTTAAAATCTTTCGCTTTAACCAAAATAATGCCTGGTGATCCTGCCATGAGGGTCCTTGTATAGGTACTTCCTGTTAGAGGGTGACAACGGTCTGTAGATCTTCCTTGATTGTGCCACTATGTTGTCACCCAGTGTTGTCCACCCTTGGAGAAGAATACAAGGAGCTGCACTGACACACATTGTACAGGCCTGGCCCACTGTTGTCACTCAGTAAACCCATCCAGAGAAACGATGTGCGGCTGAGGCTGGAGTGAGCGCATGTAGACAGGAAGTGTGAGATGGAGGCCGCAGGAGATCAGCAACACCCGGAGGCAAGAAAGAAAAGGTGTTTTTAAGAAAAAAAGATAATTGTGTATGACATGCAGTGCACAGGGCAGACTGATGGCCATCCGGTTAGGGTTTGTATCTACATTGGAGGGACCTGAGTTCTCTATATACATTATTTGCTAAAAAGTATGATTCTCAGCGTTGTCACCACACAGTGCGGCTCTCTCGCGTTGTCCACCCACAGTGCGGCTCTCCGCGTTGTCACCCACAGTGCGGCTCTCCGCGTTGTCACCCACAGTGCGGCTCTCCGCGTTGTCACCCACAGTGCGGCTCTCCGCGTTGTCACCCACAGTGCGGCTCTCCGCGTTGTCACCCACAGTGCGGCTCTCCGCGTTGTCACCCACAGTGCGGCTCTCCGCGCTTATCACCTATAGCAGAGATCTGAATGTTGTCACCCGCAGTACGGCTCTCAGCGTTGTCACCTATAGCAGAGATCTGAATGTTGTCACCCACAGTACGGCTCTCAGCGTTGTCACCCACAGTATGGCTCTCAGCGTTGTCACCTATAGCAGAGATCTGAATGTTGTCACCCACAGTACAGCACTCAGCGTTGTCACCTATAGCACAGATCTGAATGTTGTCACCCACAGTACGGCTCTCAGCGTTGTCACCTATAGCACAGATCTGAATGTTGTCACCCACAGTATAGCTCTCAGCGTTGTCACCCAGAGTACGCTCTCAGCGTTGTCACCTATAGCACAGATCTGAATGTTGTCACCCACGTATGGCTCTCAGCGTTGTCACCTATAGCACAGATCTGAATGTTGTCACCCACAGTACGGCTCTCAGCGTTGTCACCCACAGTATGGCTCTCAGCGTTGTCACCTATAGCAGAGATCTGAATGTTGTCACCCACAGTACAGCACTCAGCGTTGTCACCTATAGCACAGATCTGAATGTTGTCACCCACAGTACGGCTCTCAGCGTTGTCACCTATAGCACAGATCTGAATGTTGTCACCCACAGTATAGCTCTCAGCGTTGTCACCCACAGTACGGCTCTCAGCGTTGTCACCTATAGCACAGATCTGAATGTTGTCACCCACAGTATGGCCCTCAGCGTTGTCACCCACAGTACAGGTCTCAGAACTGTCACCAACAAGACAGTTGTCAGCATTGTCACGGTACATTTCTCTGCATTGTCACCCACAGGACGTTTCTCAGAGTTGTCACCCACACTACAGGTGTCAGCTTTGTGACCCACGGTATGTCTCTCAACATTGTCACCCACACTACAGGTGTCAGCTTTGTGACCCACGGCACGGCTCTCAACATTGTCACCCACACTACAGGTGTCAGCTTTGTGACCCACGGCACGGCTCTCAACATTGTCACCCACACTACAGGTGTCAGCTTTGTGACCCACGGCACGTCTCTCAGCGTTGTCATGTTGTCTTGCTCTGTGTGGAAGCAGAAGTCACTCTTCAGAGGTCCTGAACATCGCCTGCTGAGTGTGAGCTAGGGCACTCCAATCAGTAAAGCTCATGCTCTCTATTCCTAACTTTTCCCTTTTTGGGAACTGAAGATCTGATCACATCAAGGAAGGTTTGGGAGGAAATCGGTTTCCACATATCCAGTGGGAATGCTGATTTTGTCTGTTTTTATGTTTTACACACAGATTATGCTGGGAACCCTCACTTCCCTTCCAGAGTGGCGGCTCTGAAGGTGGGGATCATCTTGTGTCTTCACACAGCATCATCCATGAGGGACCGGACATGGGGGCGATGACGGAGAAAATCCTAAATCTCACCCTGGAAATCATCTACCTGCTGACCGGAGAGGTGAGGAAAAGCTGAAATCATCATAAACTGGCACCGCCTCTTGTATCAGCAGTCATTCCCTGTCGTCGGCTTGTCTTTCCCTGTCGTCGGCTTGTCTTTCCCTGTCGTCGGCTTGTCTTTCCCTGTCGTCGGCTTGTCTTTCCCTATTGTAAGCCGTCATTCCCTGTCGTCGTCGGCTTGTCGTTCCTTGTCGTCGCCCGTCGTCGTCGGCTTGTCATTCCCTGTCGTCGCCCGTCGTTGTCGGCTTGTCGTCGGCCGTCATCGGCGGCAGTCGTTCCCGGGCCGTCATCGGCGGCAGTCGTTCCCTGTCGTCGGCTTGTCGTTCCCTGCGTCGGCTTGTCGTTCCCTGCCGTCGGCTTGTCGTTCCCTGCCGTGGCCGTCGGCCGTCGTCGGCTTGTCGTTCCCTGTCGTCGTTCCCTGCCGTCGGCTTCCTCCCTGTCGTCGGCCGTTCATCGGCGACAGTCGTTCCCTGTCGTTCCCTGTCGTCGGCTTGTCGTTCCCTGTCGTCGGCTGTCATCGTCGGTTCAGTCGTTCCCTGTCGTCGGCCGTCATCGTCGGCAGTCGTTCCCTGTCGTCGGCCGTCATCGGCGACAGTCGTTCCCTGTCGTCGGCCGTCGTTGTCGTTCCCTGGCGGCAGTCGTTCCCTGTCGTCGGCCGTCATCGGCGGCAGTCGTTCCCTGTCGTCGGCCGTCATCGTCGGCAGTCGTTCCCTGTCGTCGGTTCCCTGTCGTCGTCATCGGCGACAGTCGTTCCCTGTCGTCGGCCGTCATCGGCGACAGTTCCTGTTCCCTGTCGGCGGCAGTCGTTCCCTGTCGTCGGCCGTCATCGGCGACAGTCGTTCCCTGTCGTTCCCTGTCGTCGGCCGTCGTCGGCGGTCGTTCCCTGTCGTCGGCCGTCATCGGCGACAGTCGTTCCCTGTCGTCGGCTTGTCGTTCCCTGTCGTCGGCCGTGTCGTCGGCTTGTCGTTCCCTGTCGTCGGCCCGTCGGCGTCAGTTGTCGTTCCCTGTCGGCCGGCGGCAGTCCCTTCCCTCGGGCGGCAGTCGTTCCCTGTCGTCGGCCGTCATCGGCGGCAGTCGTTCCCTGTCGTCGGCCGTCATCGGCGGCAGTCGTTCCCTGTCGTCGGCCGTCATCGGCGACAGTCGTTCCCTGTCGTCGGCAGTCGTCCCTGTCGGCGTCATCGCGACAGTCGTTCCCTGTCGTCGGCCGTTGTCGTCGGCTTCGTTCCCTGTCGGCGTCGGCGGCTTGTCGTTCCCTGTCGGCCGTCATCGGCGGCTTGTCGTTCCCTGTCGTCGGCTTGTCGTCGGCAGTCGTTCCCTGTCGTCGGCTTGTCGTTCCCTGTCGTCGGCCGTCGGCGGCAGTCGTTCCCTGTCGTCGGCTTCGTCGTTCCCTGTCGTCGGCCCTGTCGTTCGTTCCTGTCGTTGTCGTCGCAGTTTGTCGTTCCCTGTCGTCGGCCGGCTCGTCGGTCGTTGTCGTCCCTGTCGTCGGCTTGTCGTTCCCTGTCGTCGGCCGTCGTCGTCGTTCCCTGTCGTCGGCTTGTCGTTCCCTGTCGTCGGTCGTCGTCGGCGTCGTCGTTCCCTGTCGTCGGCCGTTGTCGTTCGTCGTCGTTCCCTGTCGTCGGCCCGTCGTCGTCGGCTTGTCGTTCCGTCCCTATCGTCGGCTCGTTCCCTGTCGTCGTCGCCTTGTCGTTCCCTCGTCGGCCGTTCGTCGTTCCCTGTCGTCGGCCGTCGGCGTCGCGGCAGTCGTTCCCTGTCGCCTGTGTCGTCGGCCGTCATCGGCGGCAGTCGTTCCCTGTCGTCGGCCGTCGTCGGCGGCAGTCGTTCCCTGTCGTCGGCCGTCATCGGCGGCAGTCGTTCCCTGTCGTCGGCCGTCGGCGGCGGCAGTCGTTCCCTGTCGTCGGCCGTCATCGGCGGCTTGTCGTCGTCGGCGGCCTGTCATCGTTCCTTGTCGTTCCCTTGTCGTTCCCTGTCGGCGTTGTCGTTCCCTGTCGTCGGCTTGTCGTCGCGGCCGTCATCGGCGGCAGTCGTTCCGGCTGTCGTCCCTGTCGTCCCGTCATCGGCGGCAGTCGTTCCCTGTCGTCGTCGGTTCCGTCATCGGCGGCAGTCGTTCCCTGTCGTCGGCCGTCATCGGCGGCAGTCGTTCCCTGTCGTCGGCCGTCGTCGTCGGCCGTCATCGTCGTCGGCCGTCATCCCTGTCGTCGTCGGTCCCTGTCGTCGGCCGTCCGTCATCGTTCGGCGGCCGTCATCGGCGGCAGTCGTTCCCTGTCGTCGGCCGTCATCGGCGGCAGTCGTTCCCTGTCGTCGGCGGCTTGTCGTTCCCTGTCGTCGTCGTCGGCGACAGTCGTTCCCTGTCGTCGGCTTGTCGTTCCCTGTCGTCGGCTTGTCTGTCGTCGTCGCTTGTCGTTCCCTGTCGTCGGCGTCGTCGGCGGCTTGTCGTTCCCTGTCGTCGGCTTGTCGTTCCCTGTCGTCGGCCGTCATCGGTCGGCAGTCGTTCCCTGTCGTCGTCGAGTCGTTCCCTGTCGTCGGCAGTTGTCGTCCCTGTCGTCGGCCGTCATCGTCGACAGTCGTTCCCTGTCGTCGGCCGTCATCGTCGGCAGTCGTTCCCTGTCGTCGGCCGTCATCGGCGGCAGTCGTTCCCTGTCGTCGGCCGTCATCGGCGGCTCGTTCCCTGTCGTCGGCCGTCATCGGTCGTTCCCTGTCGTTCCCGTGTCGTCGGCTTGTCGTTCCCTGTCGTCGGCCGTCGGCGGCAGTCGTTCCCTGTCGTCGGCCGGCCGTCGTCGGCGTCGTTCAGTCGTCGTCCCGTGTCGGCGGCAGTCGTTCCCTGTCGTCGGCGGCAGTCGTTCCCTGTCGTCGGCCCGTCTGGCGGCAGTTGTCGTCGTCGGCAGTTGTTCGTCGTCGGGCTTGTTCCCTGTCGTTCCCTGTCGTCGGCAGTCGTTCCCTGTCGTCGGCCGTCGTTCCCTGTCGTCGGGCGACTTGTCGTTCCCTGTCGGCAGTCGTTCCCTGTCTCGTCGTCGTTCCCTGTCGTCGGCCGTCGTCGGCGGCTTGTCGTTCCCTGTCGTCGGCCGTCGTCGGCGTTCCTTGTCGTTCCCTGTCGTCGGCCGTCGTCGGCGACAGTCGTTCCCTGTCGTCGGCCGTCGTCGTCGGCGTCGTCGTTCCCTGTCGTCGGCTTGTCGTTCCCTGTCGTCGCCCGTCGTCGGCGGCTTGTCGTTCCCTGTCGTCGGCCGTCGTCGGCGGCTTGTCGTTCCCTGTCGTCGGCCGTCCGTCGTTCGGCGTCGGGCCGTCGTCGGCGGCTTGTCGTTCCCTGTCGTTCGCCGGCCGTTGTCGTTGTCCCCCTGTCGTCGCCGTCATCGTCGTCGTTCCCTGTCGTCGCCGTCGTCCCTGTCGTCGGCCTTGTCGGCGGCTTGTCGTTCCCTGTCGTCGGCGTCATCGGGCGTCGTTCAGTCGGCGGCAGTCGTTCCCTGTCGTCGGCCGTCATCATCAAGGTCGGCAGGCGGCAGTCGGTTCCCTGTCGTCGGCCGTCATCGGCGGTCAGTCGGTCGTTCCCTGTCGTCGGCCGTCATCGGCGGCAGTCGGTCCCTGTCGTCGGCCGTCATCGGCGGCAGTCGTTCCCTGTCGTCGGCCGTCATCGGCGGCAGTCGTTCCCTGTCGTCGGTTTGTCGGTTCCTGTTGTCGGCCCCCTGTCGTCGGCTTGTCGTTCCCTGTCGTCGGCCGTCATCATCGGCAGTCGTCCCTGTCGTCAGCAGTTGTTCCCTGTCGTCGGCCGTCATCGTCGGCAGTCGTTTCCCTGTCGTCGGCCGTCATCGTCGGCAGTCGTTCCCTGACGTCGGCCGTCATCGTCGGCAGTCGTTCCCTGTCGTCGGCCGTCCCTCGTCGGCAGTCGTTCCCTGTCGTCGGCCGTCATCGTCGACAGTCGTTCCCTGTCGTCGGCCGTCATCGTCGACAGTCGTTCCCTGTCGTCGGCCGTCATCGTCGACAGTCGTTCCCTGTCGTCGGCCGTCCCTGTCGTCATCGTCGGCAGTCGTTCCCTGTCGTCGGCCGTCATCGGCGACAGTCGTTCCCTGTCGTCGGCCGTCATCGGCGACAGTCGTTCCCTGTCGTCGGCCGTCATCGGCGACAGTCGTTCCCTGTCGCCGGCCGTCATCGTCGCCCGTCGTTCCCCTGTCGTCGGCTTGTCGTTCCCTGTCGTCGGCTTGTCGTCTCCCTGTCGTCGGCCGATGTCGCTCCCCTGTCGTCGGTCATCGTCGTTCCCTGTCGTCGGCTTGTCGTTCCCTGTCGTCGGCTTGTCGTTGGCTTGTCGTTCCCTGTCGTCGGCCGATGTCGTTCCCTGTCGTCGGCCGATGTCGTTCCCTGTCGTCGGCCGTTGTCGTTCCCTGCCGTCGGCCGTTGTCGTTCCCTGCCCCTGTCGGCCGTTGTCGTTCCCTGTCGTCGGCCGTTGTCGTTCCCTGCCGTCGGCCGTTGTCGTTCCCTGCCGTCGGCCGTTGTCGTTCCCTGCCGTCAGCCTGTCCTGTTCCCCCGCCTGTTGGCAAAGACAGCACTCCATACACTCTACCCAGATGTACGTCCTGCTGCAGCTTTCTGCTCTCACTAGAACACCATTGGGAACATTGGCAAGGGCCAGACAGGAACTGCTGCACTGAAAATCCGGCACATTGAGCTGGCAAAATGATTTATTATTATTTTAAAGGAATTCCCACATTTCAGCAACGTTTGTCCTTTTCAACATCTAAATCAGTCTTCTGCTTCACTGTCCAGTCACAGGCTGGGGAAGAAACAAGACCCTGTAAGTGTTGCAACTGCAACAAAACAAAATCAGGTCTCCTTTCCTACCAGACTGGCTGTGCTGTGTGGCGGAGCTGTGTAAATCTCAGGACTAGGTGGGCAGAAATAGAAATCCTTTGGCAGCTATAACCATTCCATATAAAGTACGCATGATGATATCGCTCCTACCAGGGTTGACCCCTTCCAACAGGCAACACAGCTGTCACCCTAAGAGGTCTGAATACCACATTTGGCCCTCCTAAATTCCCCCAACCACCAATCTCCTGTCTGCCCTCCACACATCCCATCCAATCCCACCTCCTACCCCCACTTCCCCTCTTCCCCAAACCCTTTGCCTACACCACCCCTGATTTATCCCCCCCTCTGCTAACTCATTCACCCCTGCTAGAACCTTCCACACCTTCCCTGATAAAAAACCGTTCGCACTTCTGTCCACCCCCCCCCCCCCCCCCATCCCCAGCTGGGTACTTTAACCACTTGCCCTCCAGAGGATTTACCCCCCTTCCTGATCAGGCCATTTTTTTGTGCTACAGAGTTACGTTACTTTAACTGACAATTGCGCTGTCATACAACACTGTACATAAATGAAATTTATGTCATTTTTTTTTACTCCACAAATAGAACTTTCTTTCGGTGGTATTTGATCACCTGTGCGGTTTTTATTTTTTGCGCTGTAAACAAAAAAAGACCGACAATTTTGAAAAAAAAAAAAAATATTTTAGACTTTTTACTACAAAACATATCCAGTAAAAAAATTTAAAAAATCAAATTTAGACCAAAATGTATTTTGCTCCTTGACTTTGCTAAAAAAAAATCCCAATATGTGTAAATTAATTGGTTTAAGTTGTAGCATCTACAAATGGCGGTATACATACTGGAACTTTTTTTTTTTTTTTTTTTTTTAATACTAGTAATGGCAGTGATCAGTTACTAATAGTGGGACTGCGGCGGGCATTCTGACACTGGGGGAGAACTGACTAACTGCCACTGATATCCCCAGTGACACCAATACGGTGATCAGTGCTAATGAAAAGCATTGACACTGTACTAATGACACTGGGCAGGAAGGGGGTTAACATCTGGGACGATCAAAGGGTTAACTGTGTGCTGGGTGTGTTTTACTATGTAAGCATGCTGCTTTGTATTGTTCTGCTATGCAATGCAATACAAAGCAGCATGTTGGTGCTGACAGGGAAGAAATCTGTGTTGTTTACATGTAGACCTCTTCTCTTCCCTGCTGTCAGTGTTCCCCGGCGATTGCTGGGTGCCGGCGCAGAATCTCAAGCCGGGACCCGGTGATCGACAGCTTTACCTGCCAATGGCGGCGTATGCACGCCCCCTACCCAGGAATGCAAAACCGCATGTGTGTGTGTGTGTGTGTGTGTGTGTGTGTGTGTGTGTATATGTGTGTGTGTGTGTGTGTGTGTGTGTGTATATATGTATGTGTGTGTGTGTGTGTGTGTGTGTGTGTGTGTGTGTGTGTGTGTGTGATTTTGTGCTGCCTATAGTAGTGGTTCTGCTATAGGGGGGTCAGGAAGTGGTTAACCTCCCTTCCTTTCTTTGCCCCACTTTACCCGTATCCTTCCCTTTTCCCCAAACACACAAACTATGACATCGTGGAGGTGGACATGGCTGCAGCATCCCACTGAATCTTCATCTACATAACTACAAGTCTAATGAATACTCTAATCCAGGGGTTCTCAAAGTTACTGAGACCAGGGCCCAACAAATTCTATCAAAACTTTCCAAGCCCCAAAAGTAAAAATAAAATTTATATTCATACAACGCTTTCTTTTCTTTAACCTTTTTCTATCTTTTTACTCTGCTTTCTCTTTGTACCCGCATTCTTGTTTGAGTTCAGTTGATGGTGGCTGGGCATCAGTCTGCCCATGACGGGTACAATCTATGTAACTTTTGATCTCATAACTGGTTTGAATCGTGTCTCATGAATCTCGACAATTTATTTGTATGCCTCATCTGATGTGTACCTTGAGCACGTTATGTCTTTACTAATTATTCTCTGTTACTTATGGCTCCCATATTGTATGGTTCAGTACACCAGGTGTGATATTCACCTGTGTCACTTTCATGTTGAATGTGACTGTCATCCTGTTGGCTCTGCAATGGCAACCAAAATATGTCTTGAAATACTGACAGACTCGGAATGGTCTGGGTGTCAGTGTTGGAAGGTGTGTAGGTGTTCTTGAGGGGGTTGTGGTATTCTACAATAGAATTGGTGGCCCTGTAGGAGTGAGATTTCTGGAGGGGTCCGGGGGCTTTGCAAGGGCCCTGCAGGGGGCCAACAGGCATGGTGAGATACTGTTTGAGCTTGGGGCAATATGGGGGTTAGAGGTTCTGCAACAAGCTTGGAGGCACAGTGAGAGACTGGGTGGCACTGTGGGAGTTTGGGGGGCACACTGGTGCAGGGGTTTCAGGTTTTTTGGGGGCACTGTGGGGGTTTAAGGGGCAATTATAGGATGTTGCGGGCTCTATGGGAGCTGTAAGGCACTATAGTAGGTTCGTGGATCTGCAGCAGGCTGGAGGCCTAAGTAGAGGGAGGATGTGGCTCAGCTGCAGGCCATGGCCAGATGGTTGAGAACAAATGCATTAATCTATATATCGCTGTGGGAGTTCTGGTATCTTATACTATTGTGTAAATAAAATGCTTGTGTACACATCAATGTGACGGAGTTCCATAACCATGAATGCTGAAATATAGTAATTGTACTGCCCCCCATTATATTGTACAGTACTGCGCAAACTGTTGGTGCTTTATAAATTCTGCATCATAATAGGACTCTCCCCTCTCTCTCCCTCCCCTCTCTCTCCCTCCCCTCTCTCTCCCTCCCCTCTCTCTCCCTCCCCTCTCCCTCCCTCCCCTCTCTCTACCCCCTCTCTCTCCCCCTCTCTCCCCCCTCTTCCCCCCCTCTCTCCCTCCCTCCCTCCCTCTCCCCCCTCTCTCCCTCCCTCCCTCCCTCTCCCCCCTCTCTCCCTCTCCCCCCTCTCCCCCCCTTTCTCTCCCTCCCTCTCTCACTCTTTTCCCTCCCTCTCTCTCCCCCCCCCCCCCCTCTTCTCCCTCTCTCTTCTCTCTCCCCTCCTCTCTCTTCTCTCCCTCTTCTCTCCCCCCTCTCTCTTATCCCCCCCCTCTTCTCTCTCTCCCCCCTCTCTTCTCTCTCTCTCTCTCTCTCTCCCCTCCTCTCTCTATCCCCCTCTCCCTCTCTTCTCTGCCCCCCCTCCTCTCCTCTCTCCCCCCTCTCTCTTCTCTCTCCCCCTCTCCCCCCCCCTCTCTCTTCTCTCTCCCCCCTCTCTCTCTCTCTTCTCTCTCCCCCCTCTCTCTCTCTCTTCTCTCTTCCCCCTCCCTCCCTCTTCTCCCTCGTTCTCTCTCTTTCTTCTCTCTCTCCCCTCCATCTCTCTCTTTTCTCACCTCTCCCTCTTCCCCCTCTCCTCGCTCTCTCTCTCCTTCTCTATTTATTTATATATATATATATTGTGTATGCATTTAATCCGTTCAATCGCAAAGTAATTTTATGTGTACATTTTATATAATGATGCAGCTGATCTACTTATCTCTGCTGTGTGTAGGATTACATCATGGTGAAGAAGACTGATCAAGACTCCAGAGGCAGACCCCCTGACTCGCCAACCACTGATCCTCTGTTGTTCTCTCTGCCACACAATAGAAATAACAAGAAGATTCTAAAAATGACCAACAAGATCATCGAGCTGCTCTCTGGAGAGGTGAGCAGAGTCAAGGATCATAGGACCTTATCCAGTAGCGGTATTGGTTGAGGTGTTGGTGCAGATATTTGTTTTGGAGGATACTCCTGTCTTTGGCGCATCTTATGACCATCATCCCAAGAAAGATATAGAAACTAAAACAACTTTATTAAAAGTCACAAAACGCCATACAGTTGTACAAAAACCCCACATCCAGTGTGTAGCTCAAAGATCGTAAAAACATCAACACCCTAGATAATCCAATGCATTTGTCAGTATAGAATGAGGGATGTACCGCTTAAAAAAAGTGTTACTAAACCCAGGACCCTGCATTCATTATATCCGGATTCCAACAGTACACAGAACATGGAAATGCAATTATTTTAGTAAATAGAAACTACTAAATACCTTTTTCTCATCAGCAGTATATAGCAGTCTTGTGACTTCTCTCAGTGTTCAGCCGAGCACTGTAATCTTGTAGGAGATGTTTTCATTCTCCTATGAGGCTGCACAACCCTTGACCCTCTGTCTGGACAGTGCTGATTGGCCCTATGCCGATCATATGCCCCCCCCCCCCCAACAAAAAAATCCTCTCTAGCAATACATACCATGCTGAGCATGTGCAAAATGTTTCCTAGGGCTCTGTACTATCAACAGATGGATTGGGGACAATGTTACTAAAATATCGCTGCACCTCCACCATGTTGAGGGAATGAGACCTGGTATGGTTGGGGGGGGGGGGGGCAAACACTCGTTCTTCCACCCTTCCCTTTTTCTGGCCTTCCCGAAGAGCCTGGTGTGGATTGGGGGGGGAACCCCACGCTGTTTAGTTTTTTTGTTAATGTTGGCACTTCTTTTGTAAGTTTAGAGTCATGGTTGTTAAGGACGCAGCGGCCTCCAGCTTCTTAGCAACCAGCTATTTACTGGATATTAAGGATGCGACTGCCAGCTCCTTAACAACCAGCTAAAATAAAACCAATGCCTTAAGTATTGCATGCCTGGACCATTGCAAGCCTGGACCACTACTTCTTTAATGCATGCGTTCATTTCTTTTAGTGAATTAACTTTAACATCCTTTTATGTGGTTATTACAGAACATTTTTTAGGTAAATAAAGGGATAGTGAATTGACATTTTCAGCATCACGATATTTGGGAAAAATGTGTCAGATCATGTAAACACAACATGCAATCTGCTTTAGTGAATAGAGCCCAGGGACTGTCAGGGAACTCAAATTAAGCCCTGAATGATACCAGCCCGGTTCATATACAGTTGTGCTCAAAAGTTTGCATGCCCTGGCAGAAATTGTGAAATTTTGGCATTGATATTGAAAATATGACTGATCATGCCAAAAAATGCTCTTTTATTGAAGGATGATGATCATATGAGGCCATTTATTATCAAATAGTTGTTTTGGCTCCTTTTTAAATCATAATGATAACAGAAATCACCCAAATGGCCCGTATCAAAAGTTTACATACCCTGGAATGTTTGGCCTTGGTACAGACACACAAGGTGACACGCAAAAGCCCGGTTACAATATGCCTGACAACACCTTGACATGCCTAACCGGGCCTTTTTGTGTCATTGATGCAGTAAAGGCTTCTTTCTGGCACCTCCCCCATGCAGCTCATTTTTATCACCCAAATGGCCCAGATCAGAAGTCTCCGCCCCCGGATCAGAAGTCTCCGCCCCCTGGAATGTTTGGCCTTGGTACAGACAGACACAAGGTGACACACACGGGTTAAAATGCCAATTAGAGGTTAATGTTCCACATCTGTGTCTTTTTTTAAATTGCAATTAATGTCAGTGTATAAATAGTTAATGAGTTTGTTAGCTCTTATGTGGAAGCACTGACTAGGCTAGATACTTTGCCATGGGGATCAGAAAAGAACTGTCAAAAATCCTGCGTAACAAGGTAATGGAACTTTATAAAGATGGAAATGACATAAAAAGATGTCCAAAGCCTTGAATATGCCAATCGGTACTGTTAAATCACCTATTAAGAAGTGGAAAGTTCAGGGATCTCTTGATACCAAGCCAAGGTCAGATAGACCCAGAAAGATTGCAGCCACAACTGCCAGAAGAATTGTTCGGGATACAAAGGGAAACCCATAGGTAACCACAAGAAAAATCCAGGCTGCTCTGGAAAAAGACAGTGTGGTTGTTTTGAAGGAGCACAATATGATGCAATTTAAATAAAAATGAGCTGCATGGTGGAGGTGCCAGAAAGAAGCCTTTACTGCATCAATGACACAAAAAGGCCAGGTTAGGCATGTCAAGGTGTTGTCAGGCATATTGAAACCGGGCTTTTGTGTGTCACCTTGTGTGTCTGTACCAAGGCCAAACATTCCAGGGTATGTAAACTTTTGATCCGGGCCATTTGGGTGATTTCTGTTATGATTTAAAAAGGAGCCAAACAACTATTTGATAATAAATGGCTTCATATGATCATCATCCTTCAATAAAAGAGCATTTTTTGGCATGATCAGTCATATTTTCAATATCAATGCCAAAATTTCACAATTTCTGCCAGGGCATGCAAACTTTTGAGCACAACTGTATATAGGGCTTGACAAATCCCAGGCGCCAAGTCGCCATGGCGACTAGAAATTGCTTCCTGGCGCCTGGGTTCACGCACTTCCTCCCATTGACTTCCACGCAAAATCGCCTCCCATTGACTTACATGCAAAATCGCCCCCTACTCACTTCAATGCAAAAACTCCTGTCAATAGCAATCCTATGTGAACACATATCTCCACATGTCACTCTGCTCTATCACTTGTAACTCTGGAACGCACCACTACAAATTCGCACCGGACCTTTTTCATAGTGGCACTCAAAACGCAGTGTGAGTGGATCGCATTTGTGTGAACCACCTCAATAAGAACACCATATGTAGCTTGTTGTGTGAATCTGTGAGTTTGAAAACTCATCCAGAATTGCATATGTGTGAACCAGTGTGGCTCCATTCACACCTGGGCGTTTTGTAATCGCAGCAGATTTGCTGTGTTCGCAAAACACAGGTTCAGATGCCATTATTTTCAGTGACACCTAAAATTTAGTGTGGTTTTGCCGCACTTTTCACGTGGCAAATCGCATCGTGTGAAGCTTGTCTCCCAAAAGTTGCCTTGCCCCAGGCACTGACAATCCACGCTACGCTAAAAAAAAAAAACTTGCTCCTAACTAGCTGGCTCCTAGATTCAAAGCAAATTTTTCAAGCCATATATATATATACACACTTAGTGTGTGTGTGTTTGTGTTTGTGTGTGTGTGTGTGTGTGTTTGTGTGTGTATACACAGTGGGGATCAAAAGTTTGGGCACCCCAGCTAAAAATTTGTATCAATGTGCATAAAGAAGCCAAGGAAAGATGGAAAAATCTCCAAAAGGCATCGAATTACAGATTAGACATTCTTATAATATGTCAACAAAAGTTAGATTTTATTTCCATCATTTACACTTTCAATATAACAGAAAACAAAAAAATGGCGTCTGCAAAAGTTTGGGCACCCTGCGGAATTTATAGCATGCACTGCCCCCTTTGCAAAGCTGAGACCTGCCAGTGTCATGGATTGTTCTCAATCATCGTCTGGGAAGACCAGGTGATGTCAATCTCAAAGGATTTAAATGCTCAGACTCATCTGACCTCGCCCCAACAATCAGCACCATGGGTTCTTCTAAGCAGTTGTCTAGAAAACTGAAACTGAAAATAGTTGACGCTCACAAAGCTGGAGAAGGCTATAAGAAGATAGCAAAGCGTTTTCAGATGTCAATATCCTTTGTTCGGAATGTAATTAAGAAATGGCAGTCATCAGGAACAGTGGAAGTTAAAGCAAGATCTGGAAGACCAAGAAAAATATCAGACAGAACAGCTCGCAGGATTGTGAGAAAAACAATTCAAAACCCACGTTTGACTGCACGATCCCTCCAGAAAGATCTGGCAGACACTGGAGTTGTGGTACACTATTCCACTATAAAGAGATACTTGTACAAATATGGTCTTCATGGAAGAGTCTAAGAAGAAAACCTCTTCTACGTCCTCACCACAAAAATCATCGTTTGAACTTTGCAAATGAGCATATAGACAAGCCTGATGCATTTTGGAAACAAGTTCTGTGGACCGATGAGGTTAAAATTGAACTTTTTGGCCGGAATGAGCAAAGGTACGTTTGGAGAAGAAGGGGCACAGAATTTAATGAAAAGAACCTCTGTCCAACTGTTAAGCATGGGGTTGGATCAATCATGCTTTGGGGTTGTGTTGCAGCCAGTGGCACAGGGAACATCTCACGAGTAGAAGGAAAAATGGATTCAATAAAATTTCAGCAAATTTTGGATGGTAACTTGATGCCATCTGTGAAAAAGCTGAAGTTAAAGAGAGGATGGCTTCTACAAATGGATAATGATCCTAAACACACCTCGAAATCCACGGGGGATTACATCAAGAGGCGTAAACTGAAGGTTTTGCCATGGCCTTCACAATCTCCTGACCTCAACATAATTGAAAATCTATGGATAGACCTTAAAAGAGCAGTGCGTGACAGACAGCCAGAAATCTCAAAGAACTGGAAGACTTTTGTAAGGAAGAATGGGCAAAGATACCTCAAACAAGAATTGAAAGACTCTCTTGGCTGGCTACAAAAAGCGTTTACAAGCTGTGATACTTGCCAAAGGGGGCAGTACAAGATATTAACTCTGCAGGGTGCCCAAACTTTTGCAGGCGCCATTTTTTTGTTTTCTGTTATTTTGAAAGTGTAAATGATGGAAATAAAATCTAACTTTTGTTGACATATTATAAGAATGTCTAATCTGTAATTTGATGCCTTTTGGAGATTTTTCCATCTTTCCTTGGCTTCTTTATGCACATTAATACAAATTTTTAGCTGGGGTGCCCAAACTTTCGATCCCGTGTGTGTGTGTGTGTGTATGTGTGTGTGTGTATGTGTGTGTGTGTGTGTGTGTGTGTGTACACACACACGCACAAATACAATATTAGAAATATACAAATAAAATAAAAACAGTGATATTAAGTTGTATGAGAAAAGTGCTACATTACCTAGCCCAGGAACCCACTACTAATATTCCAAGTACCTGAAGAGTGGATATAAAGAAAAAGTACAAAAAAATAGAACGTTGTTCACAAAATATGAAATCTAGAAAGAAGTGATATTCCAGATCAAAGCTAAATTATATTAACATGGGGACCTGACACAGAAGATGCTCTACATGTATTAAGCTTCATCAGGATGGAATGCTGATGACCGGGGATGATGACTGTATCAATGTGTTTGGTAGGTTCCTTCAAGGTGCCAGGACGTCGCGGTCTTCTTCTCCTTGGAGGAGTGGGAGTATATAGAAGAACACAAGGATCTCTACCAGGACGCCATGATGGACAGCCAACAGGCAATTGGCTCAGAAGGTGAGAAGATGTGCCGTTATTTGAAACGTGGCACCACTGCAAATTTTGTTGTTTAGGGTGGTATCACTACATTTTGCAGCACTTTAGCTGAGAGTTCTACTGCTTCATAATTCAAGAGATACATATGGAGGCGCCCCTGTGCCTTTATGGAAGGGACTAGTAGACAGGACAATTCGGTTGGTTTCAGGCCGGTTGGTAAGTTGAGCTGGGAATTTTTCTTTGTTGTTTTACATGTGTTGCCCTTCCATGTGCTCCTTGCTGCAAAGGCCAGTTATAGATCGGGGTGCTTGCCATTTGTTCGCACTTCCAGTGATACCAGTAAAAGAAATGATGGAAGAGTGGATGTCACTGAGACAGGAAGACATTCATAAAAGCTACTAATAAATGAAGGTTGAATGGAAATAACTCATGTGGAAACTCTTCCCCACTCTACTAAATAAGTCTAGGTTCACACTAGTGCTGGCCGTGTGGTCTGCGTTTGCTCGGGCATGGCAGCCAATTTATTTAAATGGTCAAAGGAAAAAAAGCGGCACCTTCTAAGTGCAGCATGTTAAAAAAACCTTTATTAAAATGAGTGGTAGAAAACTCACAAGTCATATGATGGGGGAGTGCTTTAGTATTACAGTGCATCTGCGGGTGATCCGGATCGTGCAGCCCCATCCAGTGGTGGAGGGTGGAATAGCATGGCGGCACTGGTGGCTCCCAGTGCTGCCTGTGGTTTCAGGTACACCAGGAAGATGTGCCGACATCGCTTCCGGTCATCCGGGTGGCGCACGTTCGGAACATGCATGCTCCCTCTTCAGGCCATAGCAGGGGTCATCATGGAGTAGGTGTAACAATTGTGCACAATAGGGACGTGGAACCTGTATGCGACAGCCATTTTTGTTTTTCATGACCAATGACCTTCCTCCCCTCTCTCCTCCTGAAAACCATGGAATTTGTAGCTGTAAGTTTTAACGAACTTTAAAAGAACCTCTTATCTTAACTAAAACACAAATAGATGCAGAGTCCAGACCTGGCCAGGGCTGTAAACAGCTAATTAGTCTTGGCAGGATGTCTGTTTCCACGAACCATGGAAAACTCTTTCCTCTTCCCTATAGTAAAACAATAATAACTCCGTCAAGCCGTCACACGTGACCTGTAAAGCCATTAAGGCTCTAGGAATGTAGAGCGTGCCAGAAAATATCTATTCCACAACGTGACAATTCCACATACAATTCATAGAATTCAACAAGAACAGGACACATTAATATTAGGTATATATTTGAACAGGGAATATCATACAGAACAAATCAAGGTCATATATGACTGTTAGCACAGGAAAGGGAAGAAAGCAGTCTCCTGCCTCCTGGGTGTACGCTGTGTTTGGTATCCCTGGGTTCAAAATACAATTCTGAATATTAATCTGCCAGTTGCTAGAATACCACCTGCACATACTGGAAGTTATTAATATTAGTATGAAACTGTAGTTGGGACTTGGTCCTAAATTTGGTGGCCTCCTAGCACCCATCCCCTAAACCAGATGATTGGTCAGTTGTTCTCGGTCCACACTCCATTGATATCACAGAAAAGGGACAGACAGAACTTGTTAAGATTAGGCTCTTGTTTTACCATCAACCAAGAAACACTCAAGAGGGCAACATTTTTGCTCGGACAATTGGACTCTGCTAAAACCAGGACTTTGCAAGTATTCTGCCTTCTGAACTCCTTTCTGTTATTTCTCTGTTGTATTATTTTTTTCTCTTTATAACATCTTTTTCTGTAAATATTTTAATTGCACCATTTTAGACCTTTTCATTAATAAACCCTATTTTGAAACATGTCTCCTGTATCCTGTCCTCAGTCTCTGACCGTCTCCTGTATCCTGTCCTCAGTCTCTGACCGTCTCCTGTATCCTGTCCTCAGTCTCTGACCGTCTCCTGTATCCTGTCCGCAGTCTCTGATCGCCTCCTGTATCCTGTCCGCAGTCTCTGACCGCCTCCTGTATCCTGTCCGCAGTCTCTGACCGCCTCCTGTATCCTGTCCGCAGTCTCTGACTGTCTCCTGTATCCTGTCTGCAGTCTCTGACCGTCTCCTGTATCCTGTCCGCAGTCTCTGACCGTCTCCTGTATCCTGTCCTCAGTCTCTGACCGTCTCCTGTATCCTGTCCTCAGTCTCTGACCGTCTCCTGTATCCTGTCCGCAGTCCTGACCGTATCCTGTCTGCAGTCTCTGACCGTGTCCTGTATCCTGTCTGCAGTCTCTGACCGTCTCCTGTATCCTGTCTGCAGTCTCTGACCGTCTCCTGTATCCTGTCCGCAGTCTCTGACCGTCTCCTGTATCCTGTCTGCAGTCTCTGACCGTCTCCTGTATCCGTCAGTCTCTGACCGTATCTCTGCAGTACCGTCCCTGTATCGTCAGTCTCTGACCGTCTCCTGTATCCTGTCCGCAGTCTCTGACAGTCTCTGTATCCGTCTCCTGACCGTCTCCTGTATCCCGTCCGCAGTCTCTGACCGTCTCCTGTATCCCGTCCGCAGTCTCTGACCGTCTCCTGTATCCCGTCCGCAGTCTCTGACCGTCTCCTGTATCCCGTCCGCAGTCTCTGACCGTCTCCTGTATCCCGTCCGCAGTCTCTGACCGTCTCCTGTATCCCGTCCGCAGTCTCTGACCGTCTCCTGTATCCCGTCCGCAGTCTCTGACCGTCTCCTGTATCCCCTCCGCAGTCTCTGACCGTCTCCTGTATCCCCTCCGCAGTCTCTGACCGTCTCCTGTATCCCGTCCGCAGTACCGTCTCCTGTATCCCGTCAGTCTCTGCCCATCTCCTGTATCCTGTCCTCAGTCTCTGCCCATCTCCTGTATCCCGTCCGCAGTCTCTGACCGTCTCCTGAGGTGGAGCTCTAATAGGAAGAGGTGGAGCCTAATGCAGAAGGGGCAGAGTTTACAGATGAATGGGTGAATCTTAAACAGGAAGGGGTGGGGGCGCAATTTTAGTCTTCCCTAGGACAGCACAAATCCAAAATACACCACTGGCTCCACTCCAGCTTGTCAATTGGGGGACCAATTTCTGTGCAAAATTACATTTCCATAAGTGCCCTGCAGCGGAATCTAGGAGATAAGGTGTGCTATGTAATTATCTGATGTGCTTGTATGCCAGTGTCACCATGTGTGTTTCCCGCAGGGGGCAGTAGTGAGGGGAATCCAGCAGAAAGCTGTGGGTGTGTCCCCTGCTCTCAGGACTGTACAGCGGAAGAGGACAGGACAGGTACACAGGATTATCAGGTACAATACGTCAACTAACCTTTCCCATCTGTTTCTGCAGACTATTCTGCTATATACACAGGACCAATGTGTGACTGTAGAGGTGCCGATTTTTTGTCCCTGTATTACCTGTCTGATTTCACATGGGATTGTTTCAGTGTGATCCCTGTATAGCTGTTCCCTGCAGGGGCATAACTACGGATCATGGGGACCCCTTTACGTGTGACGTCAGCACTTTGTCCCAGGAGGCGCGGGGTCAGTGTCAAACCCTGTAAAAGCTAATATTTTAATAGCACTTATACTCACCTTGTCTGGATTCTTTAAATCTTTCCCTTTCCTCCTTCATTTTGTTTGTCATAAGATTGCTGCCACATTTCCTGTTCTTGGGGGGCTCCATTCTCTGTTGGGACCACTCTTACATGCACAGTCCTGTGGGAGAGACAAGCTGGCGTTGGATGCTTCCTGTGTATGTCGGTGAAGAGATGACTAATATGGGATACGCACAAGCACTAGCACATTGGGACGTGTAGTCCTTTAAAACGGAATCAGGAGGTGGGGCAGCACAGTGCCTAAATGGTTAGCACTTCCACCTTGCAGTACTAGGGTCATTGGTTCGAATCCCAACCACAGCACCACCTGCCTGGAGTTTGCATGTTCTTCCTGTGCCTGCGTGGGTTTCCTCTGGGTACACCGGTTTCCTCCCACACTCCAAAGACATGCTGGTAGGTGAATTGACTCCTGTCCAAAGACATGCTGGTAGGTGAATTGGCTCCTGTCTAAATTGGCCCTAGTATGTGTATGTATGAATGTGAGTTAGGGACCTTAGATTGTACACCCCTTGAGGGTTAGGGACTGATGTGAATGTACAATAAGCGCTGCGTACATTGACGGCGCTATATAAGTACCTGAAATAAATAGGGGAGGTTCTGTGATGATATCATTGCACATCCCCTAACCGGTAGTTCAGGGAAGCGGTGCTGAGCAAGCTGGAGGCTGTGATAGTAAACTCTGCTGATTTTTTTTTTTTCACAGTTAATAAAGCACTTGCCTCTTCTCAGTCGGTCTATGAAGAGATGATCATTAGAAAACCTGTGAGGCTTTAGTGCTTTAATAAAACCATACTGGATATGTGTTCTCTTCATAGGCACACAGATTTTCTATGTATAAATTGCTTCAACATCTCCCATTATGAGGGCCCCCTTCCACCTCCAGGCCCATAACAACTACATGGGCTGCTATGGCTGTTGTTACCTCCCCCCCCCCCCCCCCTGGTCCCATATAACCCGTACCTGTGTCATTTCATGGTCAATGTGTGTAAAATCCAGGATTATGTGTTCATTTCTGACAGGTGGAGAGTGAAGACAGGACACTGCTACAGAAGGAGGGTGAACCTGAATTAGATCTCATCAGTGCAGGTGATTATCTGAAAATGTGTTCATTTTTATAAGAACTTTTTTTTTTTTTTTTTTTTTTTACTACAGCATACGACCAGAAATGCGACATTTAAAGTGTATTTAAATTCAATCCCCCAAATCCCTAATTATCTTTAACATAATAACGTCATTTTATTGTTCTTCTATTGTCCCCTGTGACACTCAGGCTTCTGGTGGAGCATACAAGTGGCCTTTTTTTCTTTTCTTTATTTATAAAGTACCAAGCGTTCAGTAAGTGGTACAAGAACACAAGTATACCTATACAACAATAGATTAAAGTGATACTAAAGTCTTTTTTTTTTTTTTTAAAAAAATAACAAACATGTCTATACTTGCCTGCCGTGTGCAGTGGTTTTGCACAGAGTAGCCCAGATCCTCCTCTTTTTGGGTCCCCCAGTGGCGCTCCTGGCCCTTCACTTCCGTCGGGTGCCCCCACAGCAAACAGCTTACTATGGGGACACCCGAGCAGGCGCGCTCCCTAGCTTGTGGCTCTGTGTGTCCATTCACACACAGAGCCACGGCTCGGCCTTGCCCCCCCCGGTGGACGTGGTATACTTGGATCAACTTTACCTATAAATGTTATATCCAGTTATATTCTGTGTATCCAAGAAAGAATCCAGGACTTTTTTGAAGCAATCCACTGAGCTGGTCAGAACCAACTCTTGAGGGAGTCTATTCCACATTTTCACAGCTCTCACTGTGAAGAAACCTTTCCGTGTTTGGAGATTAAATCTCTTTTCCTCCAGACGTAAAGAGTGCCCCCTTGTCCTCTGTGATGACCTCAGGGGGAATAGCTCTACACAGAGTTCACTATATGAACCACTGATGTATTTATACATGGAGATCATATCCCCCCCTTATGTATTATACATGGAGATCATATCCCCCCTTATGTATTTATACATGAAGATCATATCCCCCCTTATGTATTATACATGGAGATCATATCCCCCCTTATGTATTATACATGGAGATCATATCCCCCCTTATGTATTATACATGAAGATCATATCCCCCCTTATATATTATACATGGAGATCATATCCCCCCTTATGTATTATACATGGAGATCATATCCCCCCTTATGTATTATACATGGTGATCATATCCCCCCTTATGTATTATACACGGAGATCATATCCCCCTTATGTATTATACATGGAGATCATATCCCCCCTTATGTATTATACATGGAGATCATATCCCCCCTTATGTATTATACATGGAGATCATATCCCCCTTATGTATTATACATGGAGATCATATCCCCCTTATGTATTATACATGGAGATCATATCCCCCTTATGTATTATACACGGAGATCATATCCCCCTTATGTATTATACATGGAAATCATATCCCCCCTTATGTATTATACATGGAAATCATATCCCCCTTATGTATTATACACGGAGATCATATCCCCCTTATGTATTATACACGGAGATCATATCCCCCCTTATGTATTCTACATGGTGATCATATCCCCCCTTATGTATTATACATGGTGATCATATCCCCCCTTATGTATTATACATGGAGATCATATCCCCCCCTTATGTATTATACATGGAGATCATATCCCCCCCTTATGTATTATACATGGAGATCATATCCCCCTTATGTATTATACATGGAGATCATATCCCCCATTATGTATTATACATGGAGATCATATCCCCCCCTTATGTATTATACATGGAGATCATATCCCCCCTTATGTATTATACATGGAGATCATATCCCCCCTTATGTATTATACATGGAGATGATATCCCCCTTATGTATTATACACGGAGATCATATCCCCCCCTTATGTATTATACATGGAGATCATATCCCCCCTTATGTATTATACATGGTGATCATATCCCCCCTTATGTATTATACATGGAGATCATATCCCCCCTTATGTATTATACATGGAGATGATATCCCCCTTATGTATTATACACGGAGATCATATCCCCCCCCTTATGTATTTATACATGGAGATCATATCCACCTTATGTATTATACATGGTGATCATATCCCCCCTTATGTATTATACATGGAGATCATATCCCCCCCCCTTATGTATTATACATGGAGATCATATCCCCCCTTATGTGTTATAGATGGAGATCATATCCCCCCTTATGTATTATAGATGGAGATCATATCCCCCCTTATGTATTATACATGGTGATCATATCCCCCCTTATGTGTTATAGATGGAGATCATATCCCCCCTTATGTATTATACATGGAGATCATATCCCCCCTTATGTATTATACATGGAGATCTTATCCCCCCTTATGTATTATATCTGTTGATCATATCCCCCCTTATGTATTATACATGGAGATTATCCCCCTTATGTATTATACACGGAGATCATATCCCCCCTCATGTATTATACACGGAGATCATATCCCCCTTATGTATTATACACGGTGATCATATCCCCCCTTATGTATTATACACGGAGATCATATCCCCCCTTATGTATTATACACGGAGATCATATCCCCCCTCATGTATTATACACGGAGATCATATCCCCCCTCATGTATTATACACGGAGATCATATCCCCCCTCATGTATTATACACGGAGATCATATCCCCCCCTTATGTATTATACACGGAGATCATATCCCCCCTTATGTATTATACACGGAGATCATATCCCCCCTCATGTATTATACACGGAGATCATATCCCCCCTCATGTATTATACACGGAGATCATATCCCCCCTCATGTATTATACACGGAGATCATATCCCCCCTCATGTATTATACACGGAGATCATATCCCCCCTCATGTATTATACACGGAGATCATATCCCCCCTCATGTATTATACACGGAGATCATATCCCCCCTCATGTATTATACACGGAGATCATATCCCCCCTCATGTATTATACACGGAGATCATATCCCCCCTCATGTATTATACACGGAGATCATATCCCCCCTCATGTATTATACACGGAGGTCATATCCCCCCCTTATGTATTATACATGGAGATCATATCCCCCCTTATGTATTATACACGGAGATCATATCCCCCCTTATGTATTATACACGGAGGTCATATCCCCCCTTATGTATTCTACACGGAGGTCATATCCCCCCTTATGTATTCTACATGGAGGTCATATCCCCCCTTATGTATTCTACATGGAGGTCATATCCCCCCTTATGTATTCTACATGGAGGTCATATCCCCCCTTATGTATTATACATGGAGATGATATCCCCCTTATGTATTATACAAGGAGATGATATCCCCCCCTTATGTATTATACACGGAGATCATATCCCCCCCTTATGTATTGTACACGGAGATCATATTCCCCCCCTTATGTATTATACACGGAGATCATATCCCCCCTTATGTATTATACATGGTAATAATATCCCCCCTTAATCTCCTCTTCTCAAGAGAGAATAAATTCAGTTCCTCTAATCTTTCCTCATAGCTGACCTCCTCCATGCCTCGTATCAGTTTGGTTGCCCTTCTCTGTACTTTCTCCAGTTCCCCAATGTTCTTTTTGTGAATTGGTGCCCAAAACTGAACTGCATATTCCAGATGAGGTCTTACTAATGATTTGTACCGGGGTAATATGATATCTCTCTCTGGAGTCTATACCTCTTTTAATACAAGAGAGGATTTTGCTCACTTTAGAACCCGCAGCTTGACATTGCATGCCATTATTAAGCTTGTGATCTACCAGAACCCCCAGATCCTTCTCCCCCATTGATCCCTCCAGTTGTACCCCCCCCCCCCCCCCCCCCCCCCCCAGTATGTATGATGCATGCCTATTCTTAGCCCCCAAGTGCAGAACCTTACATTTATCAACATGAAACCTCATTTGCCACATAGTTGCCCAATTACACAGAGCATTGAGGTCGGCTTGTAAGTTGGAGACATCCTGTAAGGACATTATTCCACGGCACAGCTTGGTGTCATCTGCAAAGACTGAAATGGGATTTATAATCTCAGACTCTATATTGTCTATAAATATATTACAAAGTAAGGGTCCCAACACTGAACCTTGGGGGTACACCACTGACACCCCTAGACCAATCAGAGTATGAATCATTAACCACTACTCTCTGAATACCATCTTTTAGCCAGTTTTCTATCCATTTACATCCGGATTTTTCCAAGCCTGTAGACTTTACCTTACACATTAGCCATGTGTGGGGAACTGTGTCAAACGCTTTTGCAAAATCCAGGTATACCACGTCCACCGCCACCCCTCTCCAAGTGTACCACGTCCACCGCCACCCCTCTCTCCAAGTGTACCACGTCCACCGCCACCCCTCTGTCCAAGTATACCACGTCCACCGACACCCCTCTGTCCAAGTATACCACGTCCACCGACACCCCTCTGTCCAAGTATACCACGTCCACCGACACCCCTCTGTCCCAAGTATACCACGTCCACCGCCACCCCTCTGTCCAAGTATACCATGTCCATCGCCACCCCTCTGTCCAAGGTTTTGCTCACCTCCTCATAAATAGAAATCAGATTTGTTTGACAACTTCTTTCTTTCATGAATCCATGCTGTCTGTTGCTTAAAATATTTTTTTCCAGCAAGAACTCATCTATGTGGTCTTTTATTAAACTCTCCAGTATTTTCCCAATTATAGAAGTTACACTAACAGGTCTATAATTACTTGGTAAAGATTTGACCCCTTTTTAAATATTGGCACCACATTGGCCTTACGCCAATCCAGTGGTACTATGCCAGTCATTAAAGAGTCCCTAAAAATTAGAAACCATGGCTTTGGAATGACAGAGTTCAATTCTTTAACCCCTTGGTGCCGGCGCCTCCCGGCCCTTTAAGGGTTCCAGAAGCTGGGAAGCGGGGCAGGGTTTTAGGGTCGTGTGACCGCCGCGATTCGCCGTCACGGCGGTCACATGATCATGAAAGGTCCCGATTGAAAGAGGAGATTGGGACCTTTCCGTGAGTACCGGACATGTGTGCTGGGAGCGCACAAGGGGTGCGCTCTCAGCACATAAGTATTTTTAATTGCACACAAATGTGCGGCCGTTTGGTATTTGTGTGCGGCCGGCGTGAAGAGGTTAAGGACCCGTGGGTGTATGCCATCTGGTCCAGGTGCTTTATTCACCTTTATACTGTCTAAATATTTTTGGATCATTTCAATTGCAAACCAATGTGGATCATCTGGAGCTGTTCTTTTTCTTTTAGTTTTGTCTATCAGCTGTGATGAAAACCCCTCAAATCCATCGCCTGCATCTCCGCCTCCTGACTGTACTGCCACCTGCCCTAAATTTGAATGCTATTCTGCAGACAGATCACCCAGTCCAAACTCCTCTGCTGTGAGTACAAGATTGCTCACTGTCCAGGATGAAGAGCGGCCTTCTGGAAGACAACCAAAGGTGTGAGCAGAGTCTGTGACAGAATGGCTGAGGGATCGGTACTCCTATGTTCCTCCCAGCAAGCGTCGGAAAGGCAATCCGGTCCCACTCAGGAAAGAAGCGAATAGCCCTGTCCCTGCAGCCACCTGGGAGACAGAACTTACCAAAGATCTGGATGTCATCATGAACCTGGAGGGTGCGCCTCAGACTGCCTACCAGTGCTCTGACTGCCAAGAGTGTTTTGACAATGCAGCGGATTTTATTACGCACCAGGCACTGCACAAAGCCGAGTCCAAGTTCCCGCCTTTCTACCATCCAACGTCTTTTGTGAGCATGGACTTCACCGGCAAGCAGAAACCATTTGTTTGCTTAGATTGTGGGAAATGTTTTATGTATAGGTCCGCGTTCACCAGGCATCAGCGAATTCATACAGGAGAGAGGCCCTTTGTCTGTTCTGAGTGTGGAAAAAGCTTTTCCCAAAATACGCACTTGGCGAAACACCGCAAGAACCACTAAAGTATTGCCTGAATTATGGCTGTGTTTAGGAATAGGTGAGATTAGGGTGAGCATATTATGGGTGGCTCTACCCCACCTTAACTAACAGTGTTGGATTGTGAGGGCATAGCCCACGGCACCCTACATACTGTATGTCCCATTGTTCATCACTAGAATTGATACCTCAAGACCCTCAACTCTACCTACATCACTTCCCATCCAGACTCTCAACTCTACCTACATTACTCTCCATCCAGACACTCAACTCTACCTACATCACTCTCCATCCAGACACTCAACTCTACCTACATCACTCTCCATCCAGACCCTCAACTCTACCTACATCACTCTCCATCCAGACCCTCAACTCTACCTACATCACTCTCCATCCAGACCCTCAACTCTACCTACATCACTTCCCGCCCAGACCCTCAACTCTACATCTACATCACTTCACTTCCCGCCCAGACCCTCAACTCTACCTACATCACTTCCCGCCCAGACCCTCAACTCTACCTACATCACTTCCCGCCCAGACCCTCAAACTCTACCTACATCACTTCCCGCCCAGACCCTCAACTCTACCTACATCACTTCCCGCCCAGACCCTCAACTCTACCTACATCACTTCCCGCCCAGACCCTCAACTCTACCTACATCACTTCCCTTCCCATCCAGACTCTCAACTCTACCTAGATCACTTCCCTTCCCATCCAGACTCTCAACTCTACCTAGATTACTTCCCACCAAGACTTTCAACTCTGCCTACATCACTTACCAACCAGACCCTCAACTCTACCTCCATCACTTCCCGCCCAGACCCTCAACTCTACCTCCATCACTTCCCACCCAGACCCTCATTTCTACCTACATCACTTACCAACCAGAAACAAAAACCAAAAGAAAGTGCATCGGCCTAGTGCATTACCATATAGTATTTTTATTAATAAAACAAATTCCAATGTACTCACAAAAGTACAGGACAAAGCGCATGTAACACAATCCAGTCCAGTCCCAATGCTGGAATCTCATCCATCCACATGATATAGCTTACGTGTTTCAAGGGCTGTGCCCTCTTCATCAGAGCCTGATGAAGACATCACAGCCCTTGAAATGCATAGGCTATATCTCTGTAGATGAATGTGATTCCAGAGCTGGCAGAACACAATAGCTCAGCGTTAGAGATATCCGCACTAACATCGCATAGTTGGTACGGTGACCTCTCCATTTATTTATTTTTTTTTGGTTCTCCACTGGGTTGATCAAGAAAAAACTTTGTGTGCACCAGGCATGAGAGGTAAAGATCTGCAAAAATACTAATACCATTCTCTGTACCTGCACAGCTTACTGGAAGTCTAGAAAACATGTCCTGCAGCTTAAAATGAGAGTACTTAGATATGTAGATTATGGTATATAATGTATTACTCTGTCTTGAAAACCACTTTAGATGGAGGAGATATTATGTTGATGTGTTATTTTTTCTGGCTTGAAGTGACCAGGTTACTGTTCAGTATTGCTGTTAATATAATAAAGTAAAAAAAAAAGGCCATTGAAGCTTAATGATGGCTTGATTATGTGAAACAGTGACTAATATACAGATCCATGTGAAATGATCTCTTTTGTGGGATGAGACCGCAGCAACAGCATTTTCCATGCTTGACTCGGGGAAAGGAATCCATTAAGTAGTGTGCTAGAAGTAGAAGTCTCATGCGGATTAAATGCTCACCTGGTGGTCTATTGATTCGTGTTTAAGTAATTATTGCTTGAGGAAAGACACACTGAACAATTCTTTAGAAAATCCAATCTTTCTGTATGTTAATATTGCCTGTCAGCTCCACCCCTGCCAGAAGCCCAATTTGTGGGCATTCCTCAAGCAGAGCTCGGCTGCTAATCCTATGTATGTGATCCATTGGGAGCAGGAAAGTCACATTGATGTGCCCCTTCTATGAGTAGTGAGGCTACTGGTCTTGGGTCCTGTCGAAGAAGAACACTCTCTCCTGGTCGAACACCAGTGGGGGAGAGAAGATGCATAGTCGGCCACACTATTTCACATACGTGGCGGAGATCGAGCTGAAGCCCAATTTGTGGGCGTTCCTCAAGCAGAGCTCGGCTGCTAATCCTATGTATGTGGTCCATTGGGAGCATGAATGTCGCATTGATGCGCCCCCTGTATGAGTAGTGAGGGTACTGGTTTCGGGTGCTGCCAAAGAAAAGCACTCTCAATCACACTAAAACTGATTATGAATCTGTCTCCTGCTGATCAGCAAGGTTGAACAGCAGTGGGGGAGAGAAGATCCATAGTCAGCCATGCTATGTCACATACCTGGTGGAGATCGAGCTGAAGAAGGGGCTTCTCTTGCACCTTTTGTCCTACACCTCGGGTAGTGGTGACAGGGTATGTGAGGACACAGAATGGCATTGAGGGCCAAAGCTGGTGGCAGCACCAGCTGTTGGGTGTAAGGGAGAGATGACTGAGGACCACCGGATAGGGACCAGAGAGAGAAACACTGTAGTACCTGATCAGCAGACAGGAATTAAACCAAGACAGGAGCTGAAGGTTGTCAACATTGTAGACCGAAATCAGAAGGCAGAGACATCATCAGGATGAAGGCCAAGGTCAGCAACAACTATTCAGTGAGGTACAGGGCCATGCGGCAGAAGCAGGTTCAGGGCCATGTGGCAGAGGCAGATTCAGGGCCATGAGGTGGAGGCAGGTTCAGGGCCATGAGGCGGAGGCAGGTTCAGGGCCATGAGGCGGAGGCAGGTTCAGGGCCATGAGGCGGAGGCAGGTTCAGGGCCATGAGGCGGAGGCAGGTTCAGGGCCATGAGGCAGGGGCAGCCTCAGGACACAGGCTGAGATCAGTTAACCTCTGGGCAGCAAGGTCCTGAATCAGAAGTCAGGATGCAGAGACCAAAACAGGCCAAGGTCACAATGGGCAGACCGGAATCCAGAGACAGGTCAAAGGAAAGCTAGGTCATACATGGGACGACAAATGTAGCAGGTCAGGTCCCAGGTAGTAGCTGAAGTCCACTAAGCAATCTGTCCATGTCACAATACTGCTGAAATAGGCCTCTTGGTGCCAATCCCAGGGAAGAGCATTCACATGCGTCTACATACGGCTGTACGGTATGCTCAAGCTAATACATAGGCAGCGCAGTGGCTAAATGGTTAGCACTTCCACCTTGCAGTACTAGGGTTGTCGGTTCGAATCCCAACCATGGCACCACCTGCCTGGAGTTTGCATGTTCTCCCTGTGCCTGTGTGGGTTTCCTCCCACACTCCAAAGACATGCTGGTAGGTTAATTGGATCCTGTCTAAATTGTCCCTAGTATTTGTATGTATGAATGTGAGTTAGGACCCTTTAGATTGTACGCCCCTTGAGGGTTAGGGACTGATGTGAATGTACAATATATGTGTAAAGCGCTGTGTAAATTGACGGCGCTATATAAGTACCTGAAATAAAATAATACATTAGGCCGTGCCTGCGTGCTAACGTGTCTGGTAGTAGCATTATGCAGAGAAACATGCGCATGCACTGGTCTCATATTAGCTCATTACCATGGCCCTGATCAATATGGGACAAGAGCTACATACCCTTTGTACCCTGGGGGACTGGAGGAAGCAATGCTGAGTATGGTAAGACTTCATCTCCATACTAAACAAAGTGCGCTGTCCCTTTAAATCATGAATATACAAATAATTGGCAAATCCACCAATCAGTGCGAAATGTGAACTAATCTGAGACAATTCATATATGCTATCACAGCAATAAAAAGATCCAAATCAAAAAGTTCACATGGATAAATAGTCCAAGAAAGTGACAAAAGTGCTCCGTGCTTGTCAGCTTCCTCACACAAAGTGCTCCTTACACCCCGGTCCTCCAATCCGAATTTGAAATCATGCAGTGCGTTACTTTAACTGACAATTGCGCGGTCATGCAACGCTGCACCCAAATGAAATGTACGTCCTTTTTGTCCCCACGAATTGAGCTTTCTTTTGGTGGTATTTGATCGCCTGTGTGTTCTTTGTTTTTTGTACTATAAACAAAAAATTGAGACAAATTTGAGAAAAAAGCAATATTTTTGACTTTTTGCTATTAAACATGTCAATATTTAAAAAAATTAAAAAATCAAATTTTGTCAGAAATTTAGGCCAAAATGTGTTCTGCTCCGTGTCTTTGCTAAGAAAAAAAATCCCAATACGTGTAAATTAATAGGTGTCCGTGAAAGTTATTACAAATGGCGATAATGGGATTTTTTTTTTTTTTTACTAGTAATGGCGGCGATCAGCGACTTACAGCGGGACTGCAGTGGGCATTCTGACACTGGGGGGGGGGGCAACTGACTTGGTGTCACTGATCTGCAGTGACACCAATAGTGTATACTAATGGCACTAGGTAGGAAGCGGTTAACAGGTGTGGCAGTCAAAGGGTTAACTGTGTGCTGTTTGAGGGCCGGTTCACACTATAGAAACGCAGTCCAGATACGTTCCGGATGCGTTTTTGCATGCGTGTTTTTGATGCGTTCCAGTGTGGTTTTTATGCATTCCAGTTCATTTTATCCCCTCTCTTTTTCTTCAATTCAAATAGGGACGTGTGCGGTCCGGTTCATTTTTTGGTGTGTTCCGGTGTGTTTTTGATGCGTTTTACCACGTTCCTGGACAGTTCTGTGCAGAAAAATTGTTCTACTTTTTTTTCTGCAACTGGAACGCACTGGACCTGCAAGCACTGATGTGAACGATGACACTGACCACCATATCACCTACTTTCTGTGCATTTTGGATGCAGAAAAAAAGAAAATGAAACGTATGCAGTGTGAACTGGCCCTTACTGTGGGCTGTGTCTTTGCTTTCCACTGGAAGCACACTGCTATGCAGAGCCATACAAAGCAGTGTGCTGGAGCTGACAGGGGAGAGTTCTGTGTTGTTTATACACAGGTCTCTCCTCCGTCGGAGATACTCGGCAATCACTGGGTCAATTTGACACTAACTGACACTGGGTGGGAACTGGCACTGATATCAC